ATGCAATCTAGCATTGTGGGATGGCGATTCGATACATAACTCAGCAACTCAGTTTCTTGGAAGTGGTCATTTCGCAGCTGTACCTATAAAAGGAAGGAGGTGATAAAAAAAGACTCCTTAAATCATTTTATAGAGAAATCAAAATCAGAATATTCACCTCTTCAAATTGTCTGTATTTATAATCTACAAAATCAACTTCATGGGAATCATAGTCTGTCATTGTGGTTTGGTGATCCAGTTCAAAACTCGGAACCTCAGTTTCTTGGAAGCAGTCAATTCGCGATTGTACCTATGAAAGGAAGGAGGTGAAAACAGGACTACACAAACCATAGTAGAGATGGATCAAGAGCAGAAAATCCACCTTTACGTTCAGTCTATCTTTAAAATGTTCTACAGAATCAGCTTCAAGGGAATCACAGCCGTGTGAATTAAGATACTGGAGGCTCGGAGGAAATTCTTCCACTGATTTAAGTTTCTTGCAGTTATTCAGGGAGAGAGATACCAGTGAGATAAGATATCTGATGCTTGATGGCAATGTCTCAAAATCATGGCTGCTGAGATCTAAATATGTCAGCTTGGTGAAATGACAAAGCTGATCTGACAATGACTCAATACTGTTGCAGTTTTCAAGGAAAAGCTCAAGCAAACCGTATCTTCCCCGATTTTGACTTGCGTCAGAGAGTTTCACCAATGATCTGAGGTTCCTACAGTTGGAAAGTGTCAGTGTCTGCACCTGAGTTAGATCTGGCAATTCCTTGAGTTTGAAGCAGTTCCGAAGCCAGAGAGTTCTCAACCATGAAAGGCTATTCATAGCTTCTGGTAAGTTCTCAAAATCATTTCCACTGAGGTCAAGCTTCTCTATGAACTCCAAGCGACAAATCCCATCTGGGATTTTCCGGATGTTTAAATTCACTAGTTTTAGTTCTTTCAGATTGGGAAATTCTGGAAAGCTGTCGAAGGTGAGAGGTCTGGAGTTATTTCTGTGGCTAAACCTTGTGATGCTGATGAGGGGATTAAATTTGTTGAGCTCCGAGATAAAGTGAGGTGTTTGCTGGACCCTTGTCGCCAATGTAACGGGGATCTGTTGCTCAGAATTGATGGAAATGTATTCAGCATCTCCTAAGAAATATGGAAAAAACTCAAATTTTATATTTCCCTCAATCGATATATTGATAAGGTTGATCATTTTAATTTCTAGATCTGGGAACTCCAATCTAATGGGCTGTTGCTCTGTCAGTTTCCATATAACAACATGCAGGGGACTCTTATTCACACCACAGTAGGATAGCTTAAGCTTCTTAAGGGTAGACCTATTTCCAATACACTCTGGAATTCCCTCCAATCTCGTGCAGTGTTCCAAAATCAATTCCTCAAGACTCCTGATACTTGAAATATCTGGAAGTCGTTTGAGATACTTAGATCCCGTCACATCTAGTCTCTTCAAGTTCAGGAAAACCTTAGCAAGATACACCAACAAAAGGAATTAGTTGGAAACATTTTCATGCAAGGATTTCTAGATCTCACGTCATTGCTCTAACAAAAACACAAACACAAGCTCCAAGATCATAGGAAAGGTTACCTGTGTTCCACTCCACAGCGTTTCTAGATTGCTGTGACGCAGGTTGAGTTCAACAAGAAAATATGGATCAAGCCTGAAAGGCAAGGTTCTCAACGGAAATGCGTCCCAGTGGAGTAACCTTACGGTACATGGCAGGTCATGTGCGTCTTGAGTGAGCTGCAGCTTCGGCTCTCTCCAATCTACATGCTTGTAGACCTTGAGAAACTTGAGATTATGCATACGGTCAACAACACTGGTCATCATAGACAATGGACAGGTCATCTCACACGTGTGTAGAGATATGCATTCAGTTTGTTCTGTTCCCTGTTGATAGAAACAAATAAGCTACATGGCGTAAACATAAACATAAACAAGGTAGGGTATAGAGAGAGTAAAACTTACTTTCCCAATAGCCAGTGCATCACAAATTTCCTCAGGATCCTCAAGGTATTTCCTAGAGTTACGCATAATTTCTCTTCCCATTTGTTCTACCAACTTAGGCATGGTTACATACCTATTAGTTGATATCTTGATGAGAGATTTCTCCGCTAAACCTCTTATCCCCAGGCTTCTCTCAGCTATGGAACCATCAAGAAGAGAAGTAATACGCTCGAGAGTGTCTCCATTGAAGAGACAGGCAATGTGAAGCAATACATTCTGATGTGGTTTTACTAAACCCTCGTAGTTAATTTTCAAGATTTCCATTAAGTTCTCGTCAAGACTGCTTTCAAGTGCCCTTAATGCTTCTTCCCACTTCTCAGGAGTTGCGGTCCATCCACGGAGAAATAAGGCGTATGCTTGAAGGGCAGAAGGAAGCCCGTGAGCAAGCCGAGAAGCTCGAACTGAAAGTTGTTCAAAATCATCAGGAGGCAGACGTCCTTCTCCAAAAGCAATCTGGTTAAACATCTGAAGGGAATTCTTACCATCCAAGCACTTAACCTTGTAAACTGTTTTCACTCCACAGCTAGTAAGCAAGCCTCTGTCTCGGGTGGTTATGATGATTCGGCTCCCAGGACCAAACCAGCTTGTCTCTTTTGCTAGTGCATGCACCTGCTCCACTTTATCAATACCATCAAGCACAAACAACACCTTGTGGTGCCCAAGTGTGGCTTTTATCATACGGTATCCATCTTCCACACTCCACACTCTAATATCATCGTGAAGGATACTGCAGAGCACTAACTTTTGTAAATGCATTAGATCTTGGTCATGGTCTTTACGAATACTCTTAATGTTCTCGATGAAACAGCGAGCTGCAAAATTAGATGAGAGCTGGTCATAAAGACACTTGGCGATGGAAGTTTTGCCAATGCCTCCCATCCCCCAAATTCCTATCATACGAACCTCATCAGATTCCAGATCCAAGAGAGGACTGAGACCTTCTATTTGAGCTGTCATCCCAAAAATATTCTTGGAATCTATTTTATGAATCAATGTCACACGTCTTGCAATATCTCTGGCAATTTCTTTAACCATTATAGCATCATCAATGCTACATTGAAAACAAACATAAACGAGTAACAAAAGAATTTCAGTTTTTCAATGTTCACGAGGACTGAGAAATAGGAGCTTACCAGTTTCTGGAATCCACGCCTGAAAGACTGGCGATTAGGTTAAGAGCTTCTCCCCATTGCAAAACGGTATCTGCCATTTCTGGACTTTGGTACCTTTCTAAAGCGAAACTTCCTCGTTGATGCCTCACGGCAGAAGGATCTACTCCATAGAAGACCGGAAAGACATCAAGTTTTCCATGCCTCATACGCTCCATTATCAAATGGAGTTCCATCAAGCACCACCTTGAGGTAGCATAGTTCTCCGAGAGAACCACAACAGCAAACCTTGAACCTTCTATGGCTCTGCGGAGTTTGTCAGAAATATGATCGCCAATCTCAAGCTTTTGGTCGTCTTTAAAGGTAGCAATGCCTTTGCTATCAAGTGCTACATACAAATGGCTGACAAAGGTTTTCCGGGTGTCTTCCCCTCGGAAGCTAAGAAAGACGTCATACACACGAGGTGCAGAGGAGAAAGCCATTGTTGAAAATCTAGCTCGTCAAATTATGGAGACGTGCTTGCCCTTGGGAGAATGCAGTCCATATTATCAAAGTTGGAAAGTCAACGCCAAGTGGAATCCAATTCTTTAAGAAGAATTGTTGACAGATTCAGCTATAAGTGGCCTCCCACTCCGTTGTCACTTCTTTCTGTAGGATCCCTCATTCGTTTTCCCTTCAAAGGATCTCATTCTTTTAAGAAATATTTTTCGTTGTTGGCACCAAACCAATG